ATATATATTATTATATATTAATATAACTTTTTTCGTTGTGCTTTGTGTAGTATATATAAAATTCTATTAGTATATTAAAAATTCTATTAGTAATATAATATTCTATTAGTAATATAATAAATTTTTTTTATATACTAATTTATAAATTTTTTTAGTATATACTAATAGAAAGTATTTATAAAAAAATAACATTAGTATTTAGTATTAAATTAATAGTATAAAATTATGTAATAGGAAAACTTTATATTAGTATAAACTATTAATATATTAGAAGTTAGAATTGATTATATAATAAATTACAAATTACTATTATTATTTGAGAGAAGTTATAATTCATAATTTTGTAACATTATTAACATACATCGTAACATATTGCAGGTGTCACTCGAAGATTTTGGAGGAGACGGTGAAGATTACCGATCTTGTTTTGCTACAAATGAGCTATTTGATAGTCATGAGGAAGCTATTGAATGGGCAAAGGACATTGCATTGATATGGAATTTTGAATTGGTCATCTCGAGACACGAAAAAGATGGAATGGTTCGGACGTTGAGGTGTCATCGAGGGGAACGTTACAGAGGCAAGGCAGGAAAACTAGGAAATCTTGTGAATGCTGTTTTGAGACGTTCGAAGACTAAATTTACTGGCTGCGCTTTTCTGATAAAAGTCAAATTTGAAGCAAATTCCAAAAAATGGAGTATCTGGCTTCCTTTAGAAGACGAGAAGGGATTTCATAATCATGCTTTGGCTGTGCATCCCGAGGGTCATCGACAGATGAGCCGACTCAGCGATTCATCCAAAGAGATTGTCCGTGATATGACTGATGCTCAGGCAAGACCGGGAATAATATTGGCTACAATTCAGGAGAAAAACCCAGTGGACAACGCTACTTGCCGACAAGTGTATAACTATAGAGGTCAATTGCGAAAAGACCGTCTGGAGGGTAGAGATATTGTTGGCCAGCTTCTGCATTTGGCTAGGGGCAGCAACTACATAGTTTAAACAGATGTTGACCCGGACACACAGGAGTTGACACGTGTGTTCATGTCACATCCAGGAGCAGCCAGTCTATTCCGGACATATTACTGGTATGTCGGTATAGATTCCACGTACAAAACCAACAGGTATGTTACATTACGTTATAAATAGTAATATAATGTGAATCTTAAAATAGTATGTTTGAGTAAGTTTTTTGATTCTATGTTTTTTCTTCTTGCTGCTTTCATTTGCACAGGTACCACATGCCGTTGGTTGAGATGGTTGGAATGACGCCGTGCAACAAGAATTTCTTAATTGCTTATGCAATTATCAAGGACGAGACCGAGTACAGCTATGACTGGGTCCTACAGCGGTTGAGACTTCTGATAGGGCCTGATGTACATCCTACAGTCATTGTCACTGACAGAGAGCTGGGGTTGATCACTCCTATTCAGAGGAACTTTCCGACGACGCCCCACTTACTCTGCACGTGGCACATTAACAAGGATGTGGAAGACAGGGTCTATCGATTAACATCGACAACCACAACTAAAAATAAGATCTTCGCGCAGAAGTTCACGCACGGCAAGTGGAAGAAGGTTGTCGAGGCGAACACGTGGGACAAATACAAAACTGCCGTAACTGATTTGGCTGTTACATACGCGGCGTTTCCTCGTGTGCTGGAATATGTGGATCAGACATGGCTAGTGCACAAGGAGAAGTTTGTCAAAGTGTGGACGGACACTGTCTTACATTTTGGCAACACAACGTCGTGTAGGGTGGAGAGTTCCCACGCTACGTTGAAGCGGTGGCTTAACACGTCGACTGGTTCGCTCGACACGGTTTGGGAGAAGATTGACAAAGAGATTGATTCTCAACTGACTAAAGTCAGGTATATTTTTTAATTTATACTGTAAGACTGTGTTATTAATGCATTAATTATAAATTTTAATTGGGTCGAATGTTATGTTATGTAATGTATTACCAGGGAGACGCTGGAGTCTTCGAGACTTAGAATGAGTACGGGCTACAGGGGATTCCCTTTCGAGCAGTTGACACTGCGGGTCTCGCATTACTGTATGGATATATTGAATGATGAGCTTCAGAAGATGCGAGACTTCGGCAAAGATGTTTCGGAGCGCTGCGATTGTGCACTAAAATACACTCATGGACTTCCTTGTGCCTGTGAGCTAAGGGAGGCACACACTGTACGTAGAAATATTACGACCGACGACATCCACATCTTCTGGAGCACACTAGAGGTGACGCAGCCAGGTATAATTGCGAGATTAATAAATCTATAGAACATCATGCTCAACATTTTTTTTCTCCTAAATTTTATTTAATTTATAGAAATTTTGATAGAGCATATTGTATAATTCTTTAAATTTTCGGTACGGACAGGTCAGCAGAGTGCATCGGCGAGTGGATGGACTGATCATGATTATTTTCGGAGGCTTGCCGAGGAGGTTGAAGCGGTCGATCCTGCGACTGTACAGTACCTGAACCATCTCATCGACTCTCAGCTTCATCCTGATCAACAGGGATACACAGAACCTGCAGTGAAGGAAAATCCGAGAGGTCGGCCCAAGAAGAAAAATTCAACAAAACGCGATCTATCGAGATGGGAGTACAGTGAAAGAGGCCGTACGGAGGGGCGTAAAAGCACTTCTTCGTGTGCTCCATCGCAATCGGGGTACACGAAAAAAGGTCGTCGGCCGGGGCGTAAGAGCACTTCTTCTTGTGCTCCGTCGATGTGGGACTACAGGGAAAGAGGTCGTCCGGTGGGTCGTACAAGCACTTCTTCGTGTGCCCCGACAAGCTCATCGTCTCAAGATCCGACAGGTAATTTAATTTTATTTTTTATCTGAACGATGACTAATTGTGTTTGTAAATTCAATTACCTAAATTATGACGTGAAATTATTCTGATATTACAAATACATTCGAGACGGATTTTTTTCAGTACCGACATCGTTGTAGGATTCCCTACGTAGTTCACAGCTACGTACAGAGTTATCTGGATGTGACGCCGGACGGGAACTGCGGATTTCGGGTGGTTGCGAGTTACATTTATAGGGATCAGCAGAAGTGGGATGTGGCAAGAAGAAATATTGCAAATGAGGTTGCAGCCAACATTCATTTGTACGCTCCATTTTATTGGGATGGGGTCGACGTCGCAATCGATCGTATAAGATGGGACGGGGGTCCTTATGGCGAGGAGCATTGGATGAATGCTACGGGCGACCTCTTTGCTATTGCTACACTGTTCAATGCAGTTGTCGTGTTGTTAAGCTATGGTACCAACGATAACAATATGGACATGGCTATTATGACGGTATTCCCGATCCGCGCACCATCCACGGCTACACGACCTGATTATGAGATCGTCATAGGTCATCTTGGTTCCTACTCGCACTTCATTCGTATCAATTTGTGTTCTGATTCTCCATTACCGCCTTTGTATTTTTTTTGGGAGAAATACCGAGATGTTTCGGTTCGAGATTGGTCGTATCAGTACCAGAGCAGGTTCCAGTTGTGGAATGATATTCGTACTGCAGCTGGAATTTGATATATTGTGATATTCGACTTATGTCTGCAGTTTTTTTTTTAAAATTTTATTTTCATGCGTTACGAGTGATAGATTGTGATCTCGCCGTGTCTACCGTTTCACGTGATATAATGGGAGAATTTTTTGTTTAGATGAAAATAAAATTAACTAACCACAAATAAAAAAATAAAAAACAATTCGGGTGGTTTCTGACAACATCCAAAACAAAATATATAAAAAAAAGAAGTAATTATTACATCACTACTGCGCTCTGTCGAAATCCAACCTCAACTGAGCCAGTTTTTCTGCATAAATTGCCGCCCTATCAGGAGCAAGTGTCGCGATCTCTTGATGCATATCTGATGAAAGGGACATGGACCGTCTGATCCACTACACAAAGCACAACGAAAATATATACACATAATTAAAATATAAAAAAAAAATTTGTAATGAACGAATACTAACTAAATTTAGTAAACGACTTACGTAATCTGTGTTGGCGCGCGCAGGGACAGCCTCGTTGTCCGCCTGACTGTCGGGCAAGAGTCTAGGATGAGAATAACGCTCATAACATTGCTGGTAGTCCTCATGGACCGCCCCTAGATCATCTGTGGTGGTGGGAGTAAAATCAGACAAGCGTACAGAATGCAGTATCGGGAACTGATCCCAGTGATCTACTGCAGCGTCCGATGCATGCTCAACCCTGTACATCCTAGCATTCCAACCACGAAATACAGTGATCGGACGATCCATGCGGGGAGGGATCGTC